CTTTTTCCCATTATAATTAGTGTAAAATGAATAAAAAAGATACTAGAGACCCCTGTATCCAATAAATCAGGAATTTGGAAACTTTAAAGCCACTAAAAGTAATTTTACAATAATATTGGAAAAATACTACACACTCTATATCCACCTCCTCGAGATAAATGTTCTTCTAACTATCTCGAATTAATTGAGCTTTTTTTTTGGGCCATCAGTTAGTGAACATGATCGGTTCACTTTCTTGGCACGTTGAATGAATCGACGAGTGTTGGGTTTACGATACCATGTCAAGAAAACCTACTTGGTAAAAGTTTTTTTATTAATTATGTTAATGCATAACCTTATTATATACACAATCGGTTTAACCTAATTTCATAAATGTAAATTACTAACTATACTATAATAATCCTTTATCGAAAAAAAAAAACTATACTATAATAATCTACTAATTACAGTTCATTTCATATCTCCCTCAATAAAATGATAAACTAAGATTGAGATCAAAGCAAAAAAAAGTGAATTAGATAATCTGATCTTCAAGCATATATAATTAAGAATCATCCATGGCTAAAGAATCCAAACATAATAAGATGACAATACTCTGTGTCTTAAGCTAAAATAAAATAAAATAAAGCATTGTCTATAAAATGCTAATAAGCCTAATTGCAATTCTCAAAGCTAAACCTACACTGATGTTCAATGACAATGCTCACTGGCATAAGCAGCTGCATATGTCAATAGACGAAAACTTTACATTCACGAGAAAGCTTAGTAGGTGTAAGAAGCTCTTTCTTGGTCTCTTACAGAAGCATGTGTCAAACTCATAGTCAGTTTCTTGAGGACTGCTGAATTCTCAAGAAAGTAATTCACTAATTTAATCCCAGTTTCTTCCTTCATAATCAGTTTGTTAATCATAACACACTCCAGAGTCGATGATAAACACAGAGGCACAACGGCAAACAAGATTTGCTTTGGCTTCTCTTTATGAAGACTGAAAATCGGGTTTGGAAACCCGACTTGATCTGGCTCCGTTGAAACAGAAAGGGTTTTTTTGGGAAATCAACTTCATATGGCTCCCTTAACTTATATAGGAAAGTCCTGCG